GAAACTGCAGGTGTGCTGCAGCCCCAGCTTTTTTTTTTTTCTTCTTTAAAATCATCTGCTATAAGTGTAGGTAGCAAAATATTTTTAATGAGATAACTTTTGTTTGGAGGGCTCCTAGCTTCGTATTGATTGGCTTGTCAAGTTTATTCCCCCCAGAGCTGAGCAGGACTGAGAGCAGGATTCCACATGCGAGGGAATGCCGTGTATTTTCCCATTCCGTTCGGCTTTTACTCTTCCATAGGCAAAGCAAACACTCACTAAAGCACTAAAGGACGGTAGCTGTCGAAACGGCTTTCGCAGTGGACAAATGTGTCCACACCAGTTTTTCCACCTTTCTTTACAACATCTGGTACACATCAGGGACCTAACAGCCCCTTTTGACTCTGGGAGCTGTGAAATGAAAAGCAACTTGTGCTCTTGTGTGATCAGCTCTCACGTTCTCATGTGGGGTGTGTATGATCAGCCACAGCAAATTACTCTTTGATTTACCCCTGCATTTTGAAGAATACTCGCGGTGGGTTTCAGATGAATTGCTTGGTGAGCCCTGCAGGGAATGACTCTGTGTTTAGGGGAGATGTGAGCAGGAGCTGAAAACGCCGGGGGTTCTGATGTTTGCTCAGTGCAAGACAGACCAGAATTAGAGCCACAGTCGCTACCATTGGCCTTGCTTGTGTTTTTGCAGAACAGAAGTCCTTGTTTTTTCTGCGGAAGGAGCATCCGTGTTTTCCTTTTGCATAAGCCATCCTGTATAAAGATGTGTACGGGGTGATGAAAAACAATAAGCAGTGTGAGTGCTCGCATGGAAACATGCTTTGATACAGGAGGTTTCTTTCCTGCAGCAGGTACGTAGCCCCTTCGGAGAGGAGTAACGAGGATTAGTTTTAAATCTTCTTGATTGCTTAGTGCTGTCTTTGATAACTGAGGGATGTTTGCTTTTCCCGACAGCTTTCGTGGAGACCTGCCGTTTGGAATAGAGGGTGGATGGTGTGATTCCGTAATAAACTTTAACGCGATATTTCCAGCCACAGCGTTACCAAAGCCGCTCTCGCCGGCTCATCTCCCGGCTGTTTAAATATTCAGTTTCTCATACATGAGTCCTCTAGAGACAAAATTCAGAGGGCAGCGATGCTGCTGCTGCAATTTCATTTCTGTCCTCAGTTCCTTACCCTTACGGTGCAGTGCTCCTCGGTACCCACCATAGGTATTTTTTGCCACGCCGTTCAAGGTGGAAAATGTATTTTTGTTCAGCCTAGCCCTGAGGCAGCTCCAAACCTGCTCTCGCTTAATTAGAATACAGTGTAATGCCCTCCACGGTCAGCGGAGCTGTTGCTTGGGATGGGAGCGGAGGGAGGAGTACGCTGTGCTCGGGACAGGCAGACCCATCCCATTCCTGCTTGGAGAGAGAGCCGAGAGGCGCTGACGTCAGTGGGAGATGGGCACGTGCAGGGAGAGCGGGATGTCGCTCTGCGATGGGCGCGCGCCCCCGAGAGCGCCGTGCGGCCTGGAGCTCCTCTGTATGAGGGAGCCGTTCCGTCCCCGGCGTGTTTTGTTTCCTAACGCTGCCTCTTTTCCATCCTGACCATTTAGCAAAAAAAAAAAAAAAGAAAAAAAAAAGAAAGAGCCTTTTGGAAGACTAGATAGGTAACGAAGCCGTTAATGTCTCCTCCACGTTATGCACTTTAGACAATCTCAAAGGCTCGTTTCGCCTTTCATCTTGCAAACTGTTTTCTGCAGATATTTCCTAATGTTTCCCATGACGTTTTAGCCTGTTTCTTCAGAAGATTGTAGGGACTGAAAGAGGCTATTGTTTCTGCAAGAGTGCAAGCTCGTGCACATTTGCTAATCGGGTTGGTACAGGATTTCAAGAGTGGGTGTTTGACGGAGGAACAGGGTTTGGATGTGTTTGTCTGTGTATTCTTGCTAATCGCGTGCTCTCTTGTTTCATAAATAATACCACATTTCAACTTTCTAGGTTCTTTATGCGTGTTTCTCCAAAAGTTGAACTCCAGCATCATGAGACATAAACAAGGAAATGACATGGAGTAGGATTACGAAAACTGCAGCTAGCAGAGGTTCGGAGGCTGTTTTCGTTTTTCAGTCCTGTTCTGAGATAGGAATCGGCCACATGATTACGGAGAGAGAGACTCAGCGTGATTATTTTTCACAAATAACCAAGGCTTTAAAATTGATGCTTCCTTGCCTTGCTTGCTTGTTTCCACCCTGCCTGGGTCTTCCTTTTGAAGCATGTCTAGGGTAGGCAAACAAGTCCTTTTTAGCCTGACATATTGGAGGAAGAGTTTGGCAATCCACATGTGCTTGCCAGCTCTTGGGAAACTGGACTCTGATCTTTCCATTTACCAATTCTCTTGGCAAAGCCCGTGTGAAATCACGTGGGATGCTTTGCAGTCACGTGGCATTGCCTGCAAGCAGAGGAAGCGCCAGTGGTTATTTTTGTGCTATGTCCAAGACCTTCTGAGATGGAGCCGTCGCCGCAGAGCTGATTCCCCTTTTGGGAATGCTACCTAGAGGATCGCGCTTGGGTAACTCCAGCTCCTTTCTTATTCAGTGACCCAGATCTGCACCAGTGACGAGCTCTCGCCTGCTCTGTGCGCACAGGGAGGGCGGCAGTCGCCTTCTTGATTGCCAGTCCACAGGCATGTTCCCATCCGGTGCTTCCAGGCTTGTCAGGAGCCTTTTGGCTATTGCTGCTGCTGCTGCAGTGTCTACGGATTCGGTTCCCGTGGGCCTCGGAAGATGGTGTTGGGCAACTCCGGGTTGTTTTCACATACTGCTTTATGCGTGAGACAGCAAAAAATTCCTTGGAGCGTTTCAGCTATGTTGTACAGCTGGCGACAGCCCACTGTATCCCAATTTCCATAGCCTCCCAGCGTGGTCAGGAGTAAGTGCTGCCCGTGCACGGCTCCTGGTAGCAGAGGATACGGGCAAGGAAGAGTGGGACTTGGGGGTCCCTCGAGAATTGGTGGGGATTGACACTGCGGTTTGCTCGTGGGTGTTGTCTGGCCGAAATAGGTCTTGATGGATGCCCGGGAATTGTCGAGGGGTGATAAAAGCATTGCTAAAAGCTGAGGTTGTAAGAGAGTGGGGGAAAGACTGTGCAGTGGGGAGGCGTTGGGGGTGTCTGGTTTCGTTCACCTTCGGGCTGACTTCCTGAGCAAGGAGCTTCACCTGCAGTCGCTTGTGTTTGCAGTAGCTCCAGGCCGAGCTGCTCTGTCCCTCAGGAGTTCTTTGGTGCTTGAGTGGGATACGGAATGGGTCATGGCCCGGGTCCTTAAATTGCTCCCTCTTTTCAGTGGCTTTGTATGTGGGAGAGAGGCCTGGAGCTGAGCTGTGAATCCAAGATGCCCAGGACTCCTTTGCTTTGCGCGAGTCTGCGTTCCTGCAGCCAGGAATATCCGATGCGGGCTTTGCTGCCGGCTTTTTCTCCGCACCCCTGGGGTTTGCATGTAGGGCAGTTTGGAGAGCTCCGCGCTGTGGAGCTCCCTACTTACAGCCAGCGAGTTCATTAGAGCCCTGAATTATTTACCTTCAAGCATTCAAGCCCTGAATTATTTACCTGTAAGATGCGCCGTGCTGCCTTGCCCCTTCGGTTGAGTGCAGACTCGCGCTCCAGCACAGGCTACGTGTGTCCAAGGCAGCCCGACGTCCCGGGCCATTCCACCTATTCTGTTTGCCATGCATGTTTTTATTTTTTTCATATGCAAAGACATGAAGATACTGTAACTCAGGGCAGAGCGTGAATCCTAAAGCTGGTCTGCACAGCCCAATCTGCAGGGTTTTTGGTGCCGTGATCCCACCCCGCTGTTTGGGCCAGAGCGGCACCTCTCCGGCGTGCGGGGAGCCGGCAGCGCATGCCGCTCGAGGGGCTGCTCAGCACCGGGCGTTATTTCCCTGCCGCTCCGTGCTTGGCCCCGGGCTCCATTTGTATTGCACGCTGTCCACATCTGCCTGCAGAAGTTGGCAGTTTCCTCCTGACCTTTGCTGTTTATCCCTGTCACACCTGGGCATTTGACAAAAGATTTGGGAAGCGTCGCCACACTCCTGCGAGAAGGGAGCTGGAATGGAGGGCTGGCGATCCAGAGGATCTTGCAGCCCTGCCACGTGGATATCGCGGTATCTGTCACATGGAGCTTCCTACCCTGGACACAGAGCTCCCCTTGGCTGCGAGTGCTCGTCAGTTTTGCTCCAGGGAAACCTGGCTCACACGTTGGGTAGGGCCGTGTCTTCCCTTCAGATGATTCCGTGTGATTTTTAGTTATTTATTTTTGAAGGAGTGTCTTTAGTCAGGTTCTGCCCTACGGGGCTTTGTCTTCCTTACTTTAGTATGGAAACTTCTTTGTATAAAAGTGTCCATTATGGCTCATCTGTGTATTGATGAAGAAGCAACAAGCTAGTAATCTGTGAAGCAGGGGGTGAACCCTGGCACTAAAACACCCTTTCTGGACCTTGAAGCAGAATTGCTACTGAAATAATGTTGTGGGTGCAGAGGTCAGGGAAACTGCACGCTTAAGTAATTTACTGTCCGTGTAATTTTGCAAGTATTATTTTTACAGTACTACTGTACTCACCAGTGACATATATCTGCTAGTGAAACTGAAAGAAATTGAGAGAGAGAAGAAAGAAGAAAACACTCTCTTTTCCTCGGTATTTCTGTTTTTGGTGGCCCTGGGTGTCCGCTTGGCCGTGTTCCCAGCGCTGCCGGGAAGCGGAGCCGGCGAGGAGGGCGCGCGAGGTGCGGGCTGGGGTTATCCTGGCCTCCCCGCCACGCTCGCTCTGCTCTATCAGCAATTGCAGGGGAAAGGGCTTTCTTCTCATCTAGTACTTTATTGGTTTTTTTTTTTTTTCCTGGCATATATCAGGGGGAAAAACAAGAAAGAAAAACCTAAATATCTGCTGGGAAAAGCCAGCTACTGCTCTAATATAAATAACAGGTAATCTTGTGCAGTTAATCAATGTTCTTTTTTGTGTTGGTTTTCACACAGAGCCATGAGGCAAGAGAGAAGGTTTTAAAAACAGAAAAATGTGATTGCAGAAACACCATTGTTGGCAGGAGGACTCGGTGGATTCAGGTAATAACGTGACACTGCTTTTTATTATGTTTTAAAACCTGGCTCGATTTCAAGTTGACAGTGGCCCTTTTGTCAGGGACGGAGCAGCGGAGGAAGGTGACAAGGTATAACAAGACCCAGTGGCTGCCTGTTAAATCAATTCCAGCCAGGCGCGAGGGTGTAAGTGTTCTCACGGCAAGGGTAATTACTGAATAGGACAACGTTGTTAGGGCTGCCGTGGCTTCCTTCATCCTTCCAGGCTGTGAAAACTACGGGTTTTGTTTAGTGTTTCAGCCTGAGAAAGAGCTTTAATGCATCCTCTCACTGCTGGCATGCGGTAGAAGCTCCACGGTTGTTTAATGGAAGAAGGTCAAATGAGATCATTAGCTGTAGACTGTAAAACTTTCCAAATCTGTGAATATTTCCCTTGAATTACCCATTAAAAATTATTCTGGAAGAGAGCAGATTATTACCTACTAAAAGACTTGGACCTAGATTTTTGCTGCTTCAAAGCACTGCGCTGGCTGATGTGCACGTTTGTGAATGAAGACAGTTTCTCGTTGGGTAACTGGAAGAAACCTAACGTGTGATGTTTAAATATGCTGCTAGTATATTACAACAATCTCATCTTAAAATGATGTTCCTTAACCCAACCAGATGCTTTTTCTGAGGAAATGCAAGTTGCTAGCTAAGGTACATCTCTCATGCTTTTACTAAATTTAAATTTCATAAAATGTGATTATTTTCCTAATTGAGGGGGAGTGGAAGGTGGAGTGTGTAGTATTAATCATAATGGACTTCATAATTAAGGCCAGATTCAACCCTCAAAATTCTTAGGCAATCCCGGTGAGGTCATCAGGCTTTTCACAGCATTAGGGTTTTCCCCATGTGTGCTTGATTCCAGGGTAAGGGCCTGCAGTGACTTTTTCATGCCCCGCTTGCTCTCACATATGAGGAGATGTGAAGAACATGCATGTTTTCCAATGCAGGCTTATGGTTTTCAGGTGAAATTCTGTACTATTTATCAAGAAGCAGATATGCAGAGTAAGTCAGCTTAGATGGAGCTGGTTTTGACTGGTGATTCCTATACATTTTCTTTTTTAGATGCACTGGGGAAGATGCAACTGTGGCTTTGCATTTCTATATCCATGACAAAGAAGGGCTCTAAATAGTATGTGAATGGGTGTGGATTTGAGATTTTCCTAGAGCCAGTTTCTTTTGAATATTAAACTGCATACTCCAAGAAAATAGTTGCTGTATCAACATTAGTATAATAACAGATTATTAAAAAATCAATATCTAGTCATAGAAATGAGTCCTAGTGTAAGCAGTTGTGCGTACAGCTGTGTATGTATTTGCAAATGTAAAGGGCTTCTTTTCTTGTAGCACTGGTAACTTGGATAAACACTCCGTGTGTGACTCACTGCAGATACAAACTCACTTTAAAGGAGCAAGTGTGGGATTTGCTGAATATCCTATTGCTTGCTTCCCCAAGTGCTTGCATTAGGTCATGATTAGTCTGAAATTGGCCAACCAGGGAGGAAAATTACTGCTGATATCCCATAGGTGACTTCAGAAATACAGAGCAGCGTGGAAGCGCTTTAAAAATATAAATAGTAGCTTGGATTCATAAAATCATAAAGTAAACATATGGCACAAGGTCTTCTCAAATATAACACTTAAAAGCTTTTTTAGAATTTCAGGAAAAGCTTGTTTAGTCATCACAAGAAAAGTAAATATTATCTTCCTTTTTTCTTCAGATCTTTGTCATTCCATCCCTTCATTTTTTTCTTGCTTTTTTTTTTCACCCCAAAATTGTCTTCATTTGGGAGTGTTTTGGATTGAGATAGGGCAGTGGGTGACACCAAAACCAGGTGTTCCTGGACAGCCGTACGAGGGGGCAGGCGACGTGCTGCCGATCGTATTCCCGGCGTTAAATTCCTTATGGAAGTGCTGGCGTGGTGGAGTTGGTGCAGTGCACACGGAGTGCTCGGCACGTGCTCTCCGGTTCTCTTCCCAGCCAGCAAAGCCGCAGGCTCCCCCAGGAAGGCGCCTCTTTCTCCAGGCGATGCCCACGGAGGGCTCCTGGGGCTCCGCAGGAGGTGATGCCGCCTTTGGAAGCGGTGAATGAGAGAGAAGGAGCCGGAGGAGCCGGGGGCGGGCCGGGAGGCAGGGAGACAGAGAGGAACACGCGGCTCCAGCGGGAAATACGCTGCGCTTTACAGTTGCTCGTGTGGATAGAAACCAGATGGTGAGCTGGAACACCCGCTCGGAGGAGAGCCACAGAGCCAAACATATGGCTAATGGTTCCGAGGAGCAGCGCTCGGAGCCGGCGCTTTGCCGACCGCCTCGCGTTGCGGATCGCTGCGGCGCGTCCGTGCTGGGCGCAGCCAAGCGCCTCATTCCCAGCGCGGGCGCTGGGCGCCTTGGCCCGGCCTGGCCGGGGCCTCTGCGCCCAGCGGCCCCACTCGCGGCCACCAGGCCAAAACCTCCCACGGGCAGCGCTTCCCTCTCCCTCCCCTGTGCCTTGAATCCATTTATTCCCAACAGCGCCTCTGTGTGTGCGTGTGTGTGCGTGTGTGTGTGTGTGTGTGAGCGCGTTGTTGTTATTTTGTTTTATGCTGGAGCAGCCCCGTTCACCTCGGCTGCGGCGCTGCTCTTACATGCCCGGCATTTGAAGTTGCTGCTCGGGGAGCTCTGTGCAACACCGGGGCCCATGTTATCTAAGGAACTGCTGAGCTCATTCATCTCCTTTTCACGGCCCGCTTCCTTTTATTTTTAGCCAAATCCGTCAGGCCTGACAGGCGGGTAATTTGAGCCAGAGAAAGGGCAAAGCTCCAGGTCCTTTCCACAAAGCAATTCTTCTCCTCCCTCCTGGGAAGGCTCCAAACTTGGCCTGCTCCAGGCAGATGGATTTGTTGAGTCATGTGAGATCATTTACACAAAAACACAGTGAGGCAGTGAAAAAAAAAAAAAGGGAGAGAGAGAGAGAGAAAGAAAAAGGGAGCGGGAGGAGGGGGGAAGGGGAGGAGGGAAGGGGTGGGAGAGCGCGGGCGAGCGCGCGCCGCGCTGGATTCTGCTGCGAGCGAGTGTCGGAAATGTGCTGCGAGGCAGCTAGACAGAGGAATGCAGCAGCTTCATTCTTGTATAAGGTAATGTCTAGTTTACAGTGCAGGGTGGAGCCAGCGCAGAGGAATCACTCGAAAACAGATTACTCATTTAAAAACCCGAATTTCTCCTCAAAATAATAAAAAAAAAAAAAAAGAAAAAGAAGGGGGAAAGGAGAGCGGGGTGGGGAAGGAGGAATACAAACGAGCCCCTGACCAACATGCCCAGCCGCTCGCAGCGGCGCGCGGGCAACAAAGGACACGCTGTTGACAGCCCGGGGATGCCGGCCGCGGTGGAAGGTGGCTGCAGGAGCGGAGCTGGCCGTGCGGCTGCGAGGGATGGGGCTTTGTCTGCGGGCCGGCGTGGCGGGAGCGGGGCGCTCGGCCGGCCCCACGCGCAGGGAGCGCCGCGGGCGGCCGGTGGTTGCAGGCGGCAGCTCCGGGGGGCCGGGTCTCGGCGGGGTTTCGCGGACACGGTGTTGGGAACGGCGCGAGGTGGCTGCGCTGGCTCGCGGGCGCTGCGTGGTGGGTTTGGTGCCGTTTGCAGCCTACACTCACCCCACCGTGTGTGCTTTTCTCCCCTTTCTTAAGTGGGTGATGAGTGAGAATATCAAACTTGGGATTTTTTAGATCTTGTTGCATGCAGGGGGATTATGTTAGGTTAATTTATGCAGTTTTCGAGTGTTACACATTGGAAGCTTTAAATAGGCATGGATGACTATATTTATATATTTTTAATATCACTTCCTGCTGCTTCAGATTTCTTTAACAATGCGGTATCTAAATATTAGTGTTTTGTCCTGACGGTGGCTGGAGTGACAGGAGTAGGAGCAGCGACTGGGGCGGCAAACGGTGAGACCACAAGCACCATGACAAGTTTCATGCAAAACGTTTTCTTAAATCCTCCGCCACAGTTAAGCAAGATGCGGAGCGTGGCTGTGTGGGCTCGCGTTTTAACGTGCCCCTTGCTCCCACGGAGCAGCGTCTTCCGCAGACCGCACAGCCGTGTCTGTGAGGGGCTTTCCTCCCGGGAGGGGAATGTGCATTGGGAGCCTCCCTCGCTCTGGTTGACCTGCTCTTCCCCTTTTCTCCTCCCGCTCTTGCACACTTCTGTCTACAAAACCGCTGGATCTCATGGCCCACTTGCCGGGGGCGCGTTGTCCTCCTGAGAACGTCTTCTCTTCGTTGGGCTCCCTCGTTGCATGTATTGGAGCCGCACCTGGCAATGTCCCGTGTCCCAGCTAGGCTCCTGAAAAGCGATGGGGTTGTTGCTCCTTGGAGTTCACAGCTCGTGTCAGGGATGAGAGGTGGCAGAGAACAGGCACATAAGAGAGAGAAGTACAGCGAGAGGTGAATCTTTCACTGTGCAGGACGTCATGGCCATAGTATGGCAGCCTTTAATGAGGAATGCTTGTGGGTTGCCCTGAGACGCTCGGGAAGGTCCCAGAGAAGGGCGGCATTGTTGTTTATTACATTGGCGTGAATGCTCTAACTTTCATTTCCTCCTCCCCCAAATCCTACGTTTTCTACATCTGGAAATCTTCTGCAAGCTTTCCCATGGTTACTCGGAGCTGCAATTCCAGTGAACTTTGTAAAAGCTCACTTTATAAAGCTAATCTCCCATCAGTGGAGAGACTGTGAGGAGCAAGAGTTTTCTTCGTAAGATTTTTGCCTTAGTGGCCAAACTCTATGTAATTCTTGCATTAACTATTTAATTAATTATTGATTAAATGGTTAACAGCTTTGCCTCTATTTGCTACACTTTGAAGACCTGAATTTCTTTTAATCGCCCTGCAGAGACTTGGTGTTATTTCCACCTGCTCCCCAATCCCCTTTTCTTGTGATCTGAAGAGGCCACACATGTCATCATGTGCCTCTTATATTGGCCGTCCAGGCAGAGTAGATGGGTTTCAG